CTCTGGTAGAAGGATAAGCCATTCTGGTTCCCTGGGGTGAAATCAGTAATATTTGCACCACCAACCCTTCCAGCAGAGGACTTGCATGAGGCACCTTGAGCAGCAACTCCCAGATTTGTTCTTCAGCACTCAGATCTTTGATTAGTGCTTTTGTGCTCTTCAGAAATAACCTGTTGTCAGCCAGGAAGCATCTACTCTGCAGCCAAGGAGAGGGACACCCCCACAGGGTGTTATTACCCACAATATAATTCTTGTAGTAACCAACAGAAATTTGGGCAGCGGGGCTGTACTGGTGGTACTGGGGAGGGTAGCATCAGGGACTGGAGCTCTCTGCTGGGCTCTCTTCCATCAGAGGGGATCCAGTGTAAAGCTCTGCAGCCAGGTCCTCCTGCCTCTGGAAAGAGCCAGATCGCCAGGATATTTTGTGTTAGTGTCTCTGGTCTTCCTGTGGTTTTGACTAGAAATTTCAGCCTGGTCATAGCAACTTCTACTGATAAGTTGTTCAATGAAACTGGTAATTCCCAGGTAAAAAAAAAAAAAAGAGAGAGAAAAAAATGTGGCTTTGTTGAAGAATTTCTAGCTTGCACTTTCTGGGACATGGGTTTTCTTTGTGAGACTGAGCCCTGCAAGCTTTGGGAAAAGAAAGGAAAAAAAAGAAATTATTTCAGTTTCTTTGAGGTGATATTCCCTTTTGCCTTTAACATAATCTATTCATTTTGATTCTCTGGTGGGCAGTCACTAATGCAGAGTTGAGAAACAGATCTTTTTCTTCCCCTTTGGAGCCTGTTCTTCCAGAAAAAAAAACCCCAAAATGTATTATGAATTACGTGAGTTTACATGTTCTGCAATACAGATTCCCACCAAACAGGGGTGTATATGCGATCTGAGTAGGCTCAGAATCTTTTAAAATCCTAGAGGATGAATCAACTGTAGCATATTAACTAAAAGCCATTAAAGGAAAAAAAAAAATCCTTGCTGGAATTTTTGCTGATGAATGGGTGCGGATTTGAGTATATTTTCCTGGATTATGTGTTGTAGTTACTGATTTACATCACATTAATTTTGTCAACTTGACAGGATTTGGGGTCATATGGTTAAAACCAGACAGTTTCTAAGAAACATTTATGATGTGTAAAGCCAGATTAGCTGAATTATCTCACAAATTAAGTAGAGCAGTGTATAACTTGGCTTTTTTTCACCCAGAATTTCACTGTTTTCTTTCATTCTTTATTTTCCTCTGTGCACAGTGTAGTTACAGATGTTTCCTACTGGTATTTACCCACTTTCCTTTGTTTTGGTGAATGGCTCAGATAGCAACAGGACATAAACCATGTGATATGGACTGTAAATTAAACAAAATCAGCTATGACACCTTACGTGAGGGACACATGAGTCATTTTTGCTTTGGCAACACATTAAGGAAAGCCAAGCAAGAGTGTGTCATTCTGATATAAAGGACATAAATTAAAAACCATTAAAAAGACAGATTTTTCTCTCTCACATTTCTGAATAATTAGTCTGGGGTTATTGCGGTTCTGGAGGCTTGTGAGTTACAAGATTTTCATCCGATCTCTGAGAGCAATGGGGCATTGATATATTGTCATGGCTTAACCCCAGCTGGCAGCTGGGACCATGCAGCCACTCTTGCAGTTCTCCCCCTTCCACCCAGAAGGGCAGACAGAAGAGGGAGAAAAGGAGGGAAAAGGGGGGAAAAAAATCAACTCAGGGATTGAGATAAAGACATTTTAATAGAACAATAGCAGAAAAAAAGAAAATACCAATAATAATAATAATGGTAAAAGAATATACAAGATAAAGTAATAGTGACAGTGGATTCCCACCCCCAGCCAACCTCATTTCTATACTGAGCATGATGTCTGTGGTACAGAATATTCCACTGCCCATTCTGTTGTTCTATCTATGCTGCTATGGGAAGCTGAAAAAAGCCCTTGACAAGTATAAACATCACCTAGTAACAACTAACACAATATGTATTATTGACATTCCTTCCATACCAAATCTGAAACACAGCAACCACTAGAAAGCTGAAACCAGGATATATACATACAGGATGTTCAGAAGAAGTGAAAAATCCCATGTCAGAGGTCCAGGTGATCTCCAGCAGTTGCTGGTGGAATGTTATGGTGCACGGGGACATGGTCTTGCCCTTTGGCCTGGCGTATCCATGCTGGCCACTGCAGATGCCAGGCTAACATCTCTTGGTTTTGACTCAAGCCAGCAAGTTTTTCTTTCCTCTGCCATACATGAACTGTCTTTACTTCATCTTTTAAAAGGATCAGTCTTCTAGCTGGCAGTGTCTAATAATTAATGCTAATGAAGTGTATCCTTAATGAATAACATTCTAGTGAATCTCCTACAATAAATCATATTTTTGTTCCATTACAGTCTTACTGGTGGTAAATCTTAGACTTCAGTAAAAGAAAAAAAAAAGACCCTTCTGAATTGTACATGGCATGTACCTCATGGGGTAGATAATTTGTAAAGCTATTTTCTGATTTCTGTGTCTTTTACAATAAGGAAGTGATTTTGTCTTATCTGCACAACATTTAATATAAGAGGACTTGTAGAATGAGTCACGTCTATTTTATTTTCTCAAACTTAGAGTTGCTATTAGTTAAACTTTAAAAAAGATTTTTTCTTAAGAAATTTTTTGATCTTTGGCTGTTCAATTCCTTTTGTCCTTTGAGTGACTTTATGTAATCCCTGAGCAAAATGTACGCTGAAGTCCTTGTTGCTTATTGAGTTTTACAACCTTTAACTTGAATTGAAGTTATTTGGAGCTCAAAAATCCCCTAATCTGTATGGTAATGAAAGATCATAGTCTAAGGAAAAGCTCAAGTGTCTCTTTAAAAATACTGACACTAGGCAAACGTACATTACTGAATTGTTCATAAAATGCCATGACCCAGAATTGCTTAGGCACCTAAACTCATGCACTGTGTCTGTTACTGCTTAAAAACACTCAAGTATTTAAGTGGCCACATATTTTAAAAGCCTCTTGCAATTAAACACCTGCTTGAAGTAAGTGTACGCTGAAGTGTTCCTCTGAGTCAGAGCAAAAGTACTGAGCACTTTCCAGGAATGAATTTCAAAACTTTAATCATCATTCAACTAAAATGTTTAAATCATTGAATCGTCATACAGACATCTTATTCTCATCTGAGAAAAACAAAAACCTACCAAGCACTGAAAGATGCTGCTAACTTTCTGCAAACTTCTCTGCATCTGTGAAGTGCAGCTCTGTTAAATTTTCAGGCCCTATAACATCGACCGATACTTGCAGCCGCCTGGATTCTGATGCCACTGACTCAAGACAAGCACAGACTCAAAGCCAGCCTTTTGCTCCAGGAATGGCTGCACAACCTCATCCCGCTGCTGAGGGTCTGAGCTGGGCATCGGGGACCAGCCCACCACCTCCATCCACTCCAAGGTGTGTTTCAGCTCACAGAATGGTTGGGGTTGGAAGGCACCTTCAGAGAACACCCAGTCCAACCCCCTGCAGAAGGGTCACCCAGAGCAGGTTGCACAGGAATGTGCCTAGGTGGGTTTTGAATATCTCCAGAGAAGGAAACTCCACACTGCCTCTAGGCAACCTGTTCTAGGGCTCTACCACCCTCAAAGTAAAGAAGTTCTTCCTCGTGTTCAGATGGAATTTCCTGTGTTCCAGCTTGTGTCTGTTGACCGTTGCTCTGTTGCCAGGCACCACTAAGAATCATAGGATCATAGAATCATCTGGGTCAGAAGTCATCTAGTCCGGCCCCCCCGCAGTCAGCAGGGACACCCCCAACTAGACCAGCTTGCCCAGGGCCTCGTCGAGCCTCACCTTGAATATCTCCAGGGATGGGGCCTCAACCACCTCCCCTGGCAACCTGTTCCAGTGCTCCACCACCCTCATAGTAAAAACTTACTCCTAATGTCTAATCTAAATCTGAAGATTTAGAAGAAAAGAGCTTGACCCCATCCTCTTGCTACCCACCCTTTAGATATTGATCAGCGTCAATCAGATCCCCTCTGTCTTCTCCAGACTGAACAGCCCCAGGTCTCTCTCTTTTGTCAGCAGAGATATGCTCCAGTCTCCTGATCATCTTCATATCCCTCCACTGGACTCTATCCAGTAGTTCCCTGTCCTTCTTGGCCTCGGGGGTCCAGAACTGGACCCAGTGCTCCAGATGTGACCTCACCAGGGCAGAGCAGAGGGGGGGGATGACCTCCTTCAACCTGCTGGCTCCCCAGGGGACCACCACAACACTTTTAACCCAGCCAGCATTTCATAAACACTTCCCAAGCTTCAGGGCCATAGTCAGTAAAAGGCCAACTAGACCCGTGCATGAGTGATGCTACAGCTGTTCCGAGGGTCCACGCTCCTGGAGAGGGGCAGATGCTTGCCCCAGTCCCCTGCCCGAGCAGGTAGTCCAAGGGGCTTCTGTGGTCCAGCATCAGGTGAAGTCACGCATAAGGAATAGGTTTGTGTTTGGGTAAGCTGCAGGCTGAGGTCTGTGTGGATGTCTACCTGGAGACACACTCTGTGCCACGGCTGAAGGTGATTAAGGACACACTTACCCCGGTGTTACCAATCAGATGTGTTTATTCAGGAAAACACCCACTCCCCAGTATTTAAACTGCAATAATTAACACAGAACTATTTAATTTTACATAACATAATTATTTTGACATTTCATATGTGTCTATTGCTGAAGCCCCCAGTGAACTGTCTCACAACACAGTCGGGTTTATACATAAGAAAAAATACCCTTTAAATATAAAGGCTTTGCTATACTGCACACAATTCTGCTTGCCAGAGGCAGAAGTTCTGCTCTTCTACCACTGTCAAGCTTGAGGAACTTGGTTGAAGCCCCTGGAATTACATTCATATAAAGTATTAAAAAATTACATAAAATTCTCATTTTTAAGCATTAAACTTACTCACCCTCTAAAGCATAAGCTTTAGAAATACCTATTTTCAGATTGCTGCATATGCCAATATTAACTCGCATCCTTGGAGTCAGAGCTTCTGTAGAGCTCATTTAACTGTTCAAACAGGGTTTTTTCCCCCCAATTTTTCACACTTCTTTGGCTCCCTCCTTCACCCTCCCTTTATTTTATATTTTATTTGCTTTTTCCCATCCATTTTTATGCAGAAATAGAGACAGAAAAATAGAAGCAAAGAGAGGAAGATGCAAAGTAGCAGAAACACACAGGAATTAAAAATATGTAAACTGGAGGGATGAAAAAAAAAAGTCAAATATTTACTAAACAGTTTTAGATGAGGAAAATGTTGCTTCAAAACCTAGAGGGATGAAAAAAAAAGTCAAATATTTACTAAACAGTTTTAGATGAGGAAAATGTTGCTTCAAAACCTAAGTATTGAACTGATGCCTAATTTCAATATTTTGCTCTCTCTCTCTCTCCACCAGCTCTGGACAAGTCCAAGCAATAGGTGTTGATGGGAATGAAAATGACCTAAGCAGAAAAATCTTACTCTTTTGCATCCATAAATCTAACAACTTAGTTGGTAATTGTGTTTTACCTTACAAATACATTCTGCTGGAGAGCCATGGGTCTCCCATTAGCCTCACGCAACCTCGGAGCACCGGCAGCATTCTGTGGGAAGCTGTGGAAAGTGTCCCTAAACTATAAATCCACAGCTTAAATGATCTTTTATTTATCTTGAATGGGATGAAGCTGTTGAGACTGAGGACTTGGTGACCGCACTGAATAAAGACTCACTCGGCAGTTGACGATGTCTGATCTAGCAGCTATTTTGGGTACCATGACTCGCCTCCTGGGAGTTCTTGCTTCACACTGGCTCTAGAGCAAAATAAGAATCCTAAATTTAGCTGCTGTGGACATGGCTGAAAGGAAATGGTGTGCCAATACTGCAGGGTATGGCACCTCAGGAAAAGCCGATGACTTTACCCATGGTGTACGTCCTCATCTTGCAACAGAGCAGGATGGATGGTGCCTGCAGCCCAGAGGAGGTGCTGAGCATGGAGGGGGTGATGCTCTGGCCCTGATGAAAAGGTCAGGCTCTGGGGGTTCACCACCTTCACTCTCCTTGGAATAACCTCAATTTCAGAATGTGCCACACTGCCTTTCTTTGGGCTCTACCCTCCTCCACCCCAAATCTTTGAGCTCCTGGGATCAGTACTGAAAAGAGAAATGGGGAATCCAAACCACTGCAGTGGAGCTACCCCAGGAGGGGAGGAGGACATTTTTCCAAGCCTTTGTGTCCATCATACTTTCTTGAAATTAAGCCTATTATAACCGTAAAAGGTCAAGGCTGAAAGATGTTTTGAGGTCACTGAGTGCAACTCCTGCTGTCGCAAGTGTTCCTTGTCAGAATTTGCATTTTTACAGTTATTCCTCCTACAGAAACTGCCTTTGCTTTGAGGTTTTTTTTTCCTTGCTATTTGCACCAAACACAAGTTGTATCACTTGCAGTTTCTAAAGACCTGTCAGTAAGGCCCAGTTAGGGGTCCCAAAAAGCCAAGGTTTCTAAGTTATTTTACTTTTTGGTTGGTTATTTGTGTTGACTAGTCCCTTTCATACTTTAACTCCAGGATAGAGCGCTTGAAAAAAAATAGAGCTGCTCGTAATTTTCATAGGTAATAACATTATGAATAATAATATTAAGTTAAGACCATGAGCAAGTGGCCAAGGATATTGCAGAATGCTGTTTGCTCTCCAAAGGAATCTGAGCACAGAGTCAGGAAGTCATCTTGCAGAAGAAGGTCAATGTTCTGTTGATGCAGGTGGGATCTTTAAAATAGATCTGCTGTGCATTTTTAGGCAGGACACAGCCCCTGGTTTGGCTCATGGCACAGTAAAGGATCTCACTCTAAGTGCCTATGATTTTTCCTCCCTGTGGGAAGCGCTGAGGAATATAAAATGAAACAAAACCAGAAGTGAAATGAATGCAAAACTCCCAAGTCCCTCAGTAAGCACTTGCATAGCCTAAATAACGAATCTGTGTCAGATAAGCCATGACCTATTTGTCAGATCTGAGCTTTGAGGAGTTTGGATTCAGGCCAATTTCATGGGACGCGTCATCAAGCCTTGAGAAGTCTAATTGCAACCCTGGTTTTGAAGTCTTCACAGCTTTGGTGAAGTTGAGATCCAGCTCTGTAATCTCTAATACTAACCGTGATCTGATTTTGGTTTGCTGCCCCCGGGTGAGCTCAGATGGAAGTGTATAGCATTGACTTGACTTCTATTAAAGTTCCTATTAAAATTTTTCTATAGCAATTAACAACGGCCGGAATTAAGCCAATAATAAGCATTTTTTCCTGTCAAACACAATTACGAGTAACGGCATGTATTAACTCCCATTGACGCTCTTTAGCCAAGCAGAAAATGGTTTAAAAGTGCAACTTTTTCAGTGTCTGAGAAGGGCCATGAAACCTCAACAGAGCAGACCTGCTTGTGAGATTGCCTATGCTTCCTGTTTCTGGTCAAGTTAGCAATCGAGCATACGCACAGAAAGCCACACATTTGCCACATCTGAGGCCAAGGGGAGGAATTTTCACAATTTCTCCATGATTTCAGTGCTTTCAGCAGTGGCTCCCCCTTTCTCGTGGCCAGATCCCCATGGTGGGGACCTAGTCTGAGATGCTCCTCAGAAGAGCTGAGGATCCTACTCCAGAAAAACTCATCTGCTGCCAGCAGTGACGAAGCTGAGACCATGGGAACAGGTCTTTCCTGAAAGTGCATTGCTGTTGATATTGCTGAAAAAACACAGCATTGTGTGAAGGATCAGCCTGGACTTATTTTCTTTTTTTTTCAGTACAGGTTTGTTGTCAAAAATGACCTGCTTCAAAAAGACTAGGAAATAAAAGAAGGAAAAAAGAATGAAAGAGCAAATTGACTTGGAGTCTGCCAGAAAGAAGGGAGGCTGCTGCTTGGCCCAGGGCCTTGTCTCAGTGAAAGCTATTTAACATTTTTATAACTGATGGCAAAATTGCACACTATTAATGGGCTCTCTTTATGGCTATAATTTATTCTTATTTCTCAGAGGCAACAGAGTAGGGGCCAGATTGCTTTATTCTGCGGTATTAAAAAGCCTGGGGCTGAGAAGCTTAGCTCTGCTTTGTCAGAATTTTCTCCATCTGCTAAAATAATAGAATAAAATGATCCTATGCAGAAAGCTGCTTTATTTTTTAAAAGAATGGTCTTTCTCTTTCAATTCAAAGCCTTCAGGAAAAGGTGGTGGGGGTGGTATGTGTGAGTAAATGCGTCTTTTCATTCATTAGCTGCCTTTTCTATATTCAGGAGCTATGATTCCTGACTGCCAGGCTTGCTAAACTTCTCAGGCATTAGTTGTGTGTATGGAAGGGAGGCAGAAAGCGGTTAGAAACCCTCTTTAGAGGGAGATTTAGAGTGCCCAGAGGGGTGAGGAGATGCCAGTAGAGGCAATGTCATAGGCAGGGTAAACTGAATCTTTTAAAAATAAATTTCTTTTCTTTAAGGGAAAAAGAAAGAAAGAAAACATGGGTTTAGTTTTCCTTTTTTTGTTTCCCCTAACCATTAATAGCAAAAGGTATCAATGGTTAATTAAACAAAGGATTTTTTGTTTTCATCAAGCAGAAAGTAGATATCTTTAGCAATGAATCACAGCAATTGCTCAGGAGTCTTTGAAAGTTTCTTGTGTATTTTGCAGTCACCAGGTCAATAGGACAAAACCTCACCGATACGTACCATGAGGTTCTGGTGACATAACACAAGTAACAAATTACTATTATTAGGGGTATTTTGAGTGTACTCACAGAAACTTGACAACTGAGCTTGAAAAATGAAACACTTACTGAGTTTCTGAAGCCAGAAACTGAATCTGAGTCTAAATGTTTTGATGTGAACAGTTTACCAAGCTCTAGTCATGTAAAAGAAAGAAGGTACAGGTATGCCAGGGGAAAAAGTCAGATACCAATGAAAATAGACCTTAGTAGGATATCGGGGATGAAGGAAAAAGAGGTAAGAGTGAACTGGTACCAGCTTTTGTAACTTTTTGGCCCCTTCCCACCCCACACTGTAAGAATTACATTTCAAGTAAATGCCTGTGTTACTGTAATTCATAGAATCACAGCACCTGAGATTACTCTTTCATCCTTCATTATCTAAGCTTTCCAGCCGGCCAAAGAAGCCCAGATCACACCTGTCCTCTGGACTGCCCAAACACCGCAGCTCTCAGCTGAGGACCAGGTCTGAAATTGTCTTTGGGAAAGTCTGGACCTCACGTGTGAATCCTGGATTTTCAGAAAGTGTAGGCACTAGAGGTGTATTTACACACCAGTGTGGTCTGGTGTCACACAGGGCACTGTCAAACAGGCAGGACAGGATTCGAGGAAAATGCATCATAAGGAACTTTGTTACATGACACAACTAGATTACTATTTAATATTTCTTATGAAAAGGTCTGGAAACCCCAAGTGAGAACAGAGGCTGAGCACTGTGCATGTACAAAGCCTCTGCCCCAAAGAGCTTAATATTTAAATAGAAAAGATGGATAAGTAGTGAAAAGGAAGACGCTTGGAAGTAGATTGCATAAATTCCGCAGCAGAATGCAGCACAGAAATACCCTGTAAGTCCCATAGCTCCTACGTCCTGTTCCAGAGTTTGACCTACCAGCCTGAGAGCTAATAATTTCATCATCTTTGCTTTCGTATAATTTGTCCAGAAACCTACTCCAGGACAGTGGTTGCATGCTACAGTCGTAAAGAAAGCCTTGATTGCAAGCTTTGACTGATACTTTTTTTGGAAAGACCACGTCAAAATACTACTCCGTAAAATTCAGTTTAAAAGATTTCCCCATCTCCTGAGGACAGGCACCTTGCCAGTGGTCCATTAGCCAAAAAGTCTCAATATTGCGTATTCTTCCCATAATCTGGTTACATTTTAAGCTGTGTTTATACAGCGTTGTTTGGAGGAACCCGTGGCAGATCTGTGGGTTATATGCTGGATAGTCCGACAACAGTCCTACCCTGAGCCAAACCAGAGGAATCTATCAGGTGTGGGTCTCGCAGTGTTTTAGGTTTCGTTCTGGGACACTCACTAAGTTCCTTGTTTACCCTAGCAGTGAGGTAAGATAGGAAATTTATAAACAAGGTGTGGCCTAGTAAAAGCAGGCTACTATTGTTCAGAGAAAGATAAGTCTGGGCAGCAGCAGGAGGTCAGAGAGCTGCTCACATTTCATCGCTATACCTCAAAACCCCAAGGATGTTTTCATTGGGAAGAGAAATTTCATTCAAGAATTCAGGATGGCTAAGTATTACTGATACTCGGTCCTCCACGTCCAGGTGTGTCAAATGGAGCTGGAACAAGGTCTTAAACGTCTTTTCTTGGCACGTTTCTGACGCGCACCATGTGGATAACGTTTGCCTCTTGACTTTGTCGTTCACCAGGAAATCTATCCTGAGGTCGGTGGGGCTGTTTGAACAGTTGGGAAAATGGAAGTTCAAGTGGCAATAGATCAAGTAGAGCCCTCGTGTCCTTATCACCAGCTCATCACTCTTGCACTGGATGTCTTCACAAATACCCTTCTCCACCAAGGTCAGTTTTGAACTTTCTCTTGGATTGGACACTAGAAAGGAAAGCAAACAAATTTTAAAACGAGCCACGGAGCTCTAAGAACCTGAATTCAGCCTTACATGACTTGCAGCAGTGTGTTTGCTGAGAAATGGAGATACCTGCTCAACGGTTTTCCTGCAGGAAGCTCCAAGAAAAGGCCCTGGCCGTACGGCTGGGAGCTCACACATGGAAGGGGGGTGTTAAAAAGTTCCAAGGACTTACACAACCCTTGGGAAGCCCAAGATGGGGAGATGCAGTAAAACAACCTCCTGCAATATTTGAAGGGAAATAATGCAGATATATATTCATGCACTTGTATGTGGAAGGCATCTGCTTATTTACTTTTCATTATCAAGTTAAAAATACACATTTATGTGATCATATAGGTGGTTTACCAAACAAACCCACATTTCAGGATAGCCAAGGAATTTTTTTCCTATAAAATACCCATTTGGTCAAAAAGCTATTTGCCACTGAAACCAGTTTGAATGATGTGAACAGCCTGCCCTGCAGCCAGCTCTGCAGTCTCTCTGGGCCAACACTTGCCCTCCACTGGGCTCCCCACTGACCTCTCATGTACGCAGCGGCTCTCTTGATCGGCACATTCTGTAGGATTCTTAAATGATCTTCGGAGGTGTTCCCTAAGGAAACAACAGATTAAGTGACCACTACGGATTTTTATTTTCTTTTTTCGCACTGTAAAAAAATGCTGTCAGCATTTGGCACCTCACTTATTTGCTGTAACAGGGGTATGGACAGCCACCACGGCAGCAGCTCCAAAGCAACAAGCAGCAGCAGCAGCTAGAAAGCCAAGAAGGAGAGCTGGTTCTCCTCAGCAGATAATATCTGATCTGCACATAGATTTCACACAGAATCACAGAATTATATGGGGTTGGAAGGGACCTCTGGATATCACCTCCTCCAACCCCCTGCCAAAGCAGGGCCACCCAGAGCAGGTTGCACAGGAACGTGTCCAGGTGGGGTTTGAATGTCTCCAGAGATGGAGACTCCACCACCTCCCTGGGCAGCCTCTGCCAGGGCTCTGCCACCCTCACAGGAAAGAAGTTCCTCTTCGTGTTTAGATGGAACTTTTATGTTCAAGTTTGTGCCCATTTCCTCTTGTCCTGTCCCTGGGCATCACTGAAAAAAGACTGGACTTATAGCAGTGCAACTTGATTGGTAAATTTAGAACAGTCTAAAGCTGTAGTTGCAGGAGAGCTGGTTCTCACTCCTCAGCAGGTAATATCTGATCTGCACATAGATTTCACACAAGAAGGAGAGCTGGTTCTCCTCAGCAGATAATATCTGATCTGCACATAGATTTCACACAGAATCACAGAATTATATGGGGTTGGAAGGGACCTCTGGATATCACCTCCTCCAACCCCCTGCCAAAGCAGGGCCACCCAGAGCAGGTTGCACAGGAACGTGTCCAGGTGGGGTTTGAATGTCTCCAGAGATGGAGACTCCACCACCTCCCTGGGCAGCCTCTGCCAGGGCTCTGCCACCCTCACAGGAAAGAAGTTCCTCTTCGTGTTTAGATGGAACTTTTATGTTCAAGTTTGTGCCCATTTCCTCTTGTCCTGTCCCTGGGCATCACTGAAAAAAGACTGGACTTATAGCAGTGCAACTTGATTGGTAAATTTAGAACAGTCTAAAGCTGTAGTAGATTGCAGCTACCAGTCCAAAAGATGGTATTTCTTATTCTCCTTCTTACAAATAGAAACTATGAGCCGGTAAGCTTAATTGAAACAAATTATTTGCGTGGTGAAATTACAGACAGAAGCTTTTAAACGTTTAAGTGGAACGTACTTCTGAAAATGCCTCTTGAAACCATGCTCTGCTCTCTGATGGTTAAAACATGGATGTTGCCTGGGCTTTGGGGGAGGTTGTTGGCTGTCCAAGCTGCCAGCTGGAGGAGCCGGGGCAGCTTTGCTCCTGCCTGCGCCTCTCCCTGCATAGCCACAGCGGCAGGGAAGGGGTCGCACCCCTCTGGCACCTCGGTTCAGTGCAAAAAGCAGCTGTGTGTCACGGGAATGCCCCCAAGATCCAAGCTCCGGGGCGGGGAGATGCCGGGGCTGCCCCTCCGCTGGGCGCCCGGCGGCGGCTCCGTCCCGCGGTGTGCGGGGACGGCTCCCTCCCGCGGCCGCGTCCCGCACCGCATCCCCGCACCGCATCCCCGCACTGCATCCCGGTGTCCCATCCCCTGCATCCCGGCATCGCATCCCTGCACCGCATCCCAGCACTGCATCCCAGCACAACATCCCCAGATGGCATCCCTGGCCCTGTATCCCGGTGTCCCATCTCCTGCATCCCAGCACCTCATCCCGGCACTGCATCCCAGCACAGCATCCCCAGACACTGCATCCAGGTGTCCCATCACCTGCATCCCTGGCCCTGCATCCCCGTGTCCCATCCCCTGCATCACGGCAATGCATCCCAGCACCGCATCCCGGCACTGCATCCCAGCAAAGCATCCCCAGACACTGCATCCCGGTGTCCCATCTTTTGCATCCCAGGCCCTGCATCCCAGTGCCCCATCCCCTGCATCCCGGCATCGCATCCCAGCACCACATCCCAGCACTGCATCCCAGCACAGCATCCCCAGATGGCATCCCTGGCCCTGCATCCTGGTGTTCCATCACCTGCATCCCAGGCCCTGCATCCTCATGTCCCATCTCCTGCATCCCGGCATTGGACCCCAGCACAGCATCCCTGGAAAACATCCCTGGCCCTGCATCTCAGTGTCCCGTCTTCTGCATCCCAGCACCTCATCCCAGCACTGCATCCCCAGACACTGCATCCCAGTGTCCCATCTTTTGCATCCCAGGCCCTGCATCCCAGTGTCCCATCCCCTGCATCGCATCCTGGCACCACATCCCAGCACTGCATCCCCACACAGCATCCCCAGACACTACATTCCGGTGTCCCATCTTTTGCATCCCAGGCCCTGCATCCCAGTGTCCCATCTCCTGCATCCTGGAACCACATCCCAGCACAGCATCCTCTGGCCCTGCATCCCAGTGTCCCATCCCCTGCATCCCAGGCCCTGCATCCCGGTGTCCCATCTCCCACATCCTGGCATCACATCCCAGCACTGCATCCCCAGACAGCATCCCAGGCACCACATCCCAGTGTCCTGCCTCCTGCATCCTGGGACCACGTAGCAGAAGCATCCCGGGCCCTGCATCCAGGCTCTGTATCACTGTGTCCCATCTCCTGCATCCTGGAACCACATCCCAGCACAGCATCCTCTGGCCCTGCATCCCAGTGTCCCATCCCCTGCATCCCAGGCCCTGCATCCCGGTGTCCCATCTCCCACATCCTGGCATCACATCCCAGCACTGCATCCCCAGACAGCATCCCAGGCACCACATCCCAGTGTCCTGCCTCCTGCATCCTGGGAGCACGTAGCAGAAGCATCCCAAGCCCTGCATCCAGGCTCTGTATCACTGTGTCCCATCTCCTGCATCCCAGCACCCATATCCCAGGCCCCATATCCCCACACTGCATCCTGGTGTCCCGTCTTTTGCATCCCAGCACCACATCCTGGGATGGCATCCCAGACCCTGCATCCCAGAACAGTATCCCAGGCCCTGCATTCCAGCACTGCATCCTGGTGTCCCATATCCTGTGTCTCACCACTCTATCCTGAGACAGCATCCCAGGCCCTGCTGCATCCCAGGCCTCATATCCCAGCACTGCATCCTGGTGTCCCGTCTCCTCCATCCTGGTAGCATGTCCCAGAACAACATCCCAGGCCCTGCATCCAGGCACTGCATCCCGGTATCCCATCTTTTGCATCCCAGCACTACATCCTGGGATGACATCCCAGAACAGTATCCCAGGCCCTGCATTCCAGCACTGCATCCTGGTGTCCCATATCCTGTGTCTCACCACTCTATCCTGAGACAGCATCCCAGGCCCTGCATCCGGGCACTGCATCTGGATCCCCATATCCCAGCTCCTGCATCCCACACCCTGCGTCCCGCTGCTTCCCCTTGCATTTCACCTCCTTTCCAGCCACTTTTCACCTTCCCATCTGCTCTGTGCAAGCTTTTCCTCCTCTCATTTTTTGGGTGTTTAGCAAACAGCACTGATTATTCCTCCTTTCACTTGTGATTGTAAAGAGCAGAGTTTGTACTTGCCGTGTGCAGCCCACAGGTATATGAATACACAGACAAGATATAGATTCTGGAAAATGGTGTATATCCCAGGGGATATACAGGCAGGTTGTCATGGTTTCAGCTGGGATGGGGTTGACTTTCTTGCTGGCAGCTGGTGTAGTGCTGGGTTTTGGATTTGGGATGAGAATAGCATTGGTAGCGCACTGATGTTTTTGAATGTTGCTGAACAGTCAAGCCCTTTTCTGCCTCTCACATCACCCCGACAGCAAGGGTTAGGGGTGCACAAAAAGTTGGGAGGGGATACAACCAGGAGAGCTGACCCAAACTGACCAAAGGGATATTCCCTTTGTCCCAGCCTTTGTCTTCCCAAGTCACCATTACGCGTGATGGAGCCCTGCTTTCCTGGAGATGGCTGGACACCTGCCTGCCTATGGGAAGCTGTGAATTAATTCCTTGTTTTGCTTTGCTTGCATGTGTGGTTTTTGCTCTACCTATTAAACTCTCTTTATCTCAAACCACAAGTTTTTCCTCACTTTTACTTTTCTGATTCTCTTCCCCACCTCAGTTAGGAGTGAGTGAGTGTGGGTTTAAACCACGACACAGGTGAATGGTTATTTCCCACTACATTGCATCTCCTTTTTTACATCTCCTGGCCCTGCTGCAACTATGGAAGGGATGTGCATAGGAGCTCTGTTTTATTCTACAGCTGAACACCAGGAATTAACTGTGAAGGAATTTCAGTAAAGCCTTACCAAAGTATACAGATCACTTAAGTTTTCCTATGACTCGGTGTATAAAATTGGTATAAGAGTCACCCACCCTACAAGGGGCTCTGAAGGACCAGGTATTATACAAAATTAACTTCTACTAAATCTTGATGCCACTCTGTGATATCAGATGAAATATTTCTTGTTTCTTACATGAACAAGAAGGAGTTGCTAAATGCATAGTGAGACACAGCTCTTAAGTCTCACAGAATTCCCAAAACTAAGGGTACAAAAAAGAGATTCAACTCTCCAGACCCTTTTGCAGCTCCTGTGTGGCCTGGTTTCTAAGAGGTCCTTGGTCAAGAGGGTGGATAAATCAGGGAGACTTGGTCCCACACACAGATGCCCATGGTTGGTGATTGCACCCGTTGCACTCACTGTTGGAGAAGGAAGCTGTGGGTATCTTGAAAGAATCGCAATCTTTCTCTGATTTCTGTAGTTGAAACACTTTTGAGGGAAGGAGAGGCTCACTGCGCTCCAGGAATGAGTAAGTCATGTATCAAAGTCCCTTGGCTGCACTGGAAATCCCCAAAAGAAATACCAAAGCCTACTTTCCTGATATTTAGTCACATCAATATAGTGTTTTAGTGAGTACACAGACACTACAGAGGTGTGGAGATATGACATAGGATAGGACAAAAACCCTTCTGGCCCTTATTTAAAATTAAAGCTGTTAACGATGGTGGCAACACCTTCTGGTAATGTACAGTCAGTGCCCTGAGCCCACTCACATCCCAGGTGTCCTGC